ATGTGCTAGTTTCACTGTCAACTGCAATCTCAACAGTGAATCCTGCATTTACAGATAGATGTCACTTCCAAAACTTTGCACCGTGTAATTGGCCTAACACGGTCTCATCCAAAAAAGTCATATAACTGACGTTTTGGGACGTATTTTGACCATACGACATTATCAGCCTTTTTAGGGCCCCCTTAAACGTCGGTAGATGGCGATCCCGGGCCGTCATACAACTGACGCTTTACCTTTAACGTCAGTTAGGTGACGGGTTAGGTTTAGGTTTAGGTATGGGGTAGAGTTAGGATCCCATAACCTCATCTACCGACGTTTAAGGGGGCCCTAAAAAGGCAAATATTGACGTATGGTCAAAAGACGTCCCAAAACGTCAGTTATTTGACGTCTTGGGGTGAGACCGGGTTGATTGGCCATCTGTCCCCTTAGCATCATGGAAAACAAGACTTTTATTAGCCTCGAAATTCGATTGCTGGTTTGCAACTTAAACCTATATGTCCGAAGAGTAGGCCTATGGGTAAAAATTGGATGGGAAGCCACCTGAATCCTGTGACCTGTGATTATTTGGTTGCATGTAAATGTCTGACAGAATCACTTTTTCGATAGAAATTGGTCTGCTCAGGGCCCTGAAACAGCCGACTGGCAGGGACTGACCAAACGTATCTAGAAAAAGAGTTGATGGACACTTCTACCTCCCGAAGATGGACACCTCTACCTCCCGAATCACCTGCGGTGGTGGGATTATAGTCGGGCACAAGATGGCTTGGTGTGCATAGAGCTCCCTCGGGAGGGGTCCCCCTTAAGGACCAGGGCCGAAAGCCATCAGGTTTTCTTTTTGGCTGCCCTCGAGGCGTTCACCTCTTTCTAATCTGATCTCACCTTGGGCAGCCAGGACAGAGTGAACATCCTTTCCTCCTATCTTTATGATGGGGGCTCCAGTAGCCACCATTACTATTTGTTCCTCCCTCTTGGAGCTTGGCCCTGGCCACTTCGGGAGGTAATATATAATATAAATCTCTTGGCTTGCAATAAAATCACATTAAACAGCCTGATTTTGACTTTTCAGAGTCCAGTTGTTGGATAGAGTAAAGGTCAAGACCCATGATCATCCAGACCAAAATAACCATTTAAATGGCTACTCTTCATGCTGGGTTATTTTGTTACATTACGGTAGCTCAGTCTAGCCTGTTGAATGGGTGTAATTTCAAATAGACTCCAACAGATGGCAGCAAATCAGCACAGCCACATGTATACAACATAAGTTATTGGACCCCTAAGCAATGTCACTGACACTCTCACAAGTGAACAGTCTCAAAGGTTTTAAACAGATTGGAACTGACAGATTTTAGTCAGTTCTTGCCATTTTAGTGAACATTATTCAGTGTGAGGTTCTTTGGCTGAGACTGAAACTTTGATGGTAGCTTATTATTCAGAATGCCCTACAGCTAAAGCAAATCATTTGCATACTGAGAACTAAATAAGAACCAAACAACTTTGACTTGCAAATGACACAAATTTAAAAATACATTTAAAAAGAACATTACGGCAGTACACAGTTTAGTAAGGGTGGCCGAGAGAGCTCAACGTGCTTCAACTGAAGAGAACACATGCAAATAGAAAAACTTCTGCAAATTAAGAAAACATCTTCATCGGTTTCAGAACACGTGTGCTCCAAATAACCACAACACAACCAAATACAGAAATGCGCTGCATATAGCACAGACCACAACGGAAATGTTTCCAGGGGACCAAAATAAGTGACAAACACGGCTGGGACATTGACAACGATCAATGATCACCAAATTTCTCTTGACCATGTCTTGTTATGAACAGTTAAGCCTGTCAAAAAAAACTGGTAACACTTTACAATACGGGTGCACTAATAAGCATTAATTCATGCTTAAGTAATGCACAGATAATACTGAATTAATGTGTAACCAGTGTTGGGAGTAACGCATTACAAAAGTAATACATTACAGTAACATATTAGTTTTTGCTGTAACGCAGTAGTGTAAGGCATTACTAATCAATTTTCAGTAATATTTTACTCGTTACATGTTCAGTGAGGCTTGTATTGCAGTTGTATTACAGTGTATTGTCTGCTTTTACTTCTTAAAGGCAACAGACTATGTGAAAGTTTTAAAGCAGTCTTTAAGTGCCAGTTCAGAGCGGTCGCGTCTGTAACATTGTTTTTTCCTCATAAATGCGAACACGAAAACTAAAATAAAATGAATATTTTAAGTTCTATGGAGACTGCAGAGCCAACCCTTCCTCATCTGATGTGCGCAGTGTAATTAACAGAATTACAAAAATATATATTTTGCCTCCTATTTTTTTGTCACGCATGAATGTGTGTCTTTTCCCTAATATTAAAAATAAAACATAGACTGATATTTGTCTAATGTCTGGAGTCCTTTAAGGAAGTAGCCTATATACGTTTCAATACATGTATTTTCTGAGAATTTTTATTTCAAGTTTTGACTGCAAATGTAATGTCCATAATGCTGGACTTCCCAATTTATCCTCAACTAGTTTTGTGGTGTAGGTCTACGTATTTTATAATGTTAACTTCAAATAATACTAATAGCCTAATATAAAGATAAGGCAGCATTGGATCTGGACGGTAAGGAGAATAACGCTGGAGTTGGAAGAGGTGTGTTGCGATTCTGTAGGTTCGTGGATCTGAGTCGTGTGGCGAATGGTTTCATATTGCATATCGTTACAGCCCCAAAGTTAAGTTCTACTTAGTTATTTTGGTGAAAGTAACTCAAAAGTAATACATGAGTAATGTAATGCATCACAATTCTGAGACAGTAATATTGTAAGGTAATGATTTACTTTTAAATAATAGTAACAAATAATACCTAATGTATTACAGTTTGGAAAAAACTTGCACAACACTGTGTGTAACTAATGATTATTTAAGCTATTCATTAATGATTACCACATTAGGAACTAATTCAGAGTATGTAAGGTTAATGTATTAGTTCATACATGAATTGTTCTTAATTAAAAATGTAATTGTGGATTAATTCCATAAAAACAAATTTTTAACTAATAGTGTAAATTAATATGTTAATTACCAGAATGAGCCAAAGCCTTGTATTTAAACTTCCAGATAATATGACAGGTACACTAATATGCATTAATACATTATTAATTACTTCATTGTTACTGCAATTTCATGTGCGAATTACTACAATTACTAAACGACTAGTTAATAATGACGTGCCCCAACCAGTAAAGTCATAACATAATGATACCTTTGCAAATCATTAGCTAATGATTAATTAAAGCAGACAACTGGAAGTTGAAGTTTGACTTATTGTGGTAATTAACACATTAATGTACACTATTAGTTAATAAAATATGTTATTAAGGAATTAATACACAATGGCACGTTGAATTAATAGAAATTCATGTATTACTTAATCTATTAATCATATAGACTCTTTTTATTAGTTGCTGATGCAGTAATCATTAATTAATAGTTTAGTTCTTCATGAGTTATAAATTAACTCATGATTATCTGTGCATTAGTTAAGCATGAATTAATGCATATTAGTGCACCCGTATTGTAAAGTGTTACCAAAAAACTAAACCAAAATCCAACGATTATAAAAGTTATCTCACATTAAAGTTTTCTTCTTCATTGGCCTTGCATATGGCGAGGAAGAAGCTTAACGTGGTTTAATGTACCTAAACAATAATTACCAAATTCTTCTCTCATATTGCGCCTCATAACCACTGAAAACTGTCATAAAATCAAACCCAAAGTCCAATTATTTTGGATGTTATCTGACACTAAGCGTTCCTGCTTCATTAGAGCCTATTGTAAGGAAAAAGCTTGGTTTAATTTACCTAAACGACGATCAGTGGTCACCAAATTTCTCTCTCATATCCTGAGAAAGAAATTTGGTGAACATTGATCGTTGTTTAGGTACATTAAACTACGTTTCGCTTTTTCATGTTAAGCAATTTAGAATGTCCCACTTTCAACCTTCAGTCAGCCATAACCAAAAAGCCAACTAAGCTAAGTAGGCAATCCCAACATTAACAGAGAAAGAGACAACTCATTCCACTCACTAGTTTTGAATAACTAGCTACTCAATCCTACCTTACACATTAATACTGGAAAAAAAAGCCCCTTTGATTAAAAACATTTTAGATTTTGATTGATGACCATCCATCGTATATAAGGGCTCCCCTTTCTAGCCACTGCATATATATATATATATATATATATATACTCACACACACAATTCAATTTATTTAATCGATAGCCCCTTGAGATGCAACATCTCATTTTCAAGAGGGTCCAAATTATATAACAAAAAAAACCCACATTAAGCAACTAAGCAGCTCACACCATTACTATAAACCTAAGACACATCATAGCTCTGACATAACTGTCACAAAAAGCACATCACATTTACTCATTATACAATTGGGAGCATAGTAAAGGAAATTCAGTAAACAAAAAAGTGCCACATAAGAAGGACAGAGGTTGAATAAACAGGATATAAATCAATTAGACATTTCCACTATACAAAAGACAGTTGCACGCAATACAATTCAGTCCATATATTATATGCATATACAATCTTCATTATCATTCATATGTGTTAACTCAACCCCAAACAAACAACATTTAAGACAGTCCAGTTACCAGAGCAAGACATAACGTGCAGATAAGTACAATAAATGAGGAATGGGGATGGGGATATGGGGAAAAGAGGTGGGAATGGAGTGGATATGTTTTCAACTGGAGCGTTCAACCAAGGAAAAACATGAACACGGTTGGATAGAGGATCATTTGTGTGTGAATATAGTGCTGTTGCGATCGTGACAGAGCCCTCTGTCAGAATCTTGCATGTGTTACCACAAACTCGACCAACACGTCATAACCCAACCACCTGTTTTTGCATTTTTTTTTCTCATCTTTTCAGACTCATTATCTCACACACACGCATACAAATCTCCATTTCCTCTTTAGATGATACAGAAGGAAGTTATAAAGGAAGTGAATGAAAAGTATGAAACATCTAGATCAAAGCTCACTGGACAGCCTGGGTACAAGTGGATTTCAAGTAAGTTAAATATGATTAGCTAATTTGTTAATTGCAATTAAGCGTCTACCATAAACTGTTCATGTTGTTGGGTCAGTTTGAGGAAAAGGTTGGTAATTTCTCAATGCACAAGTAAATTGCATTTTTTTTTATCATGCATTAATTGTTCTTAAATATATTCATCATGTAATATGTGTATTTAGCATAACACAACTTGTAAATAGTGTGCAGTATGAATGAATTTGTATAGTATGAATGTAATACCAACATATTACATTTACCATTTTGGGTTATTTGGTTCAGTTAACCGTGTGAAACAAAACATCAAGAAAAGGAATTTAGCCTTGAGTAAACTAGAGTAGATTACAATGCCTATTTGTCCTTCCTTCAACAACAAGTGATAGATTCCTTTGTCTGATATATACTTGATAATAGATTATGCTGCAAATGATTTTTTTTGTTGAATGCTTTAGATTATACATAACAGTGTCAGTATCAACAATTGTGGTGCAGAAAAGAACACCTTAAAGTTCCCCCTGAGAACAGAACTGATCTTTGCAAAAGAGGCTGTTTTTACCAGTCATTGAACTTAATGTAAAATGTCACATTATGCAGCTCTCAGCACAACAACAGAGATTAAATCTGATTTTGTAACAAATGTGTTGATATATTTTGTTTGCACTTTCATGAAAACTTTCAGCTCAGTCACTGGATTTTGTCACCAAATTGAGCAACTTTCTAATTTTTGCTGCACCTTTTACTGTTATTATTATTTATTTGTTTCTTTTTTGCAACAAGTAGCTTCACCATTATGTTCGGTTTGTTTCAATATCATGGACTTTTTAGTTAGTTTTCAATCTCATCATTGTTCTTCAGCCCATTCTCACCCCCAAGGCGTCACTTAACTGACGCCTTGGGAAGCATTTGGACATGCTTCAATATCTGACGCTTAATGCCTAGTTCACACTACATGATTTTAAAATGTCAGGCTGAACTGTGCAGTTCACACTACATGACTTGCTCTCAGTGAAATCATGAGTGTTCAAGTTGTTTAGCTGTTCACACCACACAACACAACGTGATTGATCCACAACAGGAGGTAACTCACTACACGAGTTAACAACGCACTACATAGAGATACAACCACGATCGGATGATAAGAGCATATCATTTGTGACTCAATGAGAGCTGTTTCAGTACTATAGTACGGTCTAAATCCTGAAAATAATCAAACAAATAACGAGTTGACAACAACACGATTCTATCTGGTCTAGAAACCATGTTTTGTCATGAAAAACACGCAATAAAACGAACCAGAAATGACGCGAAACTGCAGAGAAGAACATAACACGCGAATATGGACGTCAGACAGAAACTAGTGCTGCACACTGTTTGCTCGATGATCTGCTCTGAGAAAAAAAAATGCAAAAAAGAAAAAGTAAGATTTACCTGGTGTCCTCAACCCATGCGTTGCTATGATTGGCTGTACTCATGACATCACTGAGATTGAGTCGCTCGACTGCTCGAGATATCTAGCATGCTAGATATTTTTCTGAGCTCGGTGACCTGTCTGCGAGGTGTCTGCGAGCTGTCTTTGATGCGTTGTTGGCTCTTTCACACTAACGGATTGGCGAGCGTTAATCGTCCGCTAATCGCCCGCGATTTGCACGCGATAACACCCTGACTTGTCGGCGACTCAACGATTTGCAAATCGGGCTTAAATCGGGCTTAAAATCACGTAGTGTGAACTAGGCTTTAGGCGCCCTTTAGCGTCAGTTATATGACGCCCTAGGATCGCGTGTACCCAACCCCCACCCCATACCTAAACCTAACCGCGTCCTCTAACTGACGCTTTCCTTTAGCGTCAGTTAGATGACGCCGTAGGATCGCGTCATGTAAAGGGCGCCTAAAACGTCAAATATTGAAGCATGGTCAAAGGTGACGCCTTGGGGTGAGAATGCGTTGTGTTCTTTTGTTCTCGCTCCTCATTTGTGTTCTTGGTTTCAGCTGTGTTCTATAATCCTCGTTCCCTTTCAGTCGAGAACGTCAAATGTAGTCAACGTTGACTGAATGGGATCACGCCAGGGAGCTAGTCATTTTCGAGTACTATTGAACGAGCCAATGGAATTGACATCACACATAAATATGGAAGTGGATGCACGCACTAGTTGCCTTTCTCTTAGGAGCCAATCGTTTGATGTCTCCGAAGAGTGCAGTTGTTTACAATGAGAGAGTGTGTCAGTGTTCTTCTGGGAGACTCTCCCAGTGGTTTCTACAGCGCGAGTGCAGCGGTGATCGTGAGCTTTGTGCTCTCAACTGCTGTTTCTAAATGTTCGTGTGTGTGTTGATGGCTGGTTAGAGGATGGAAAAGTAAGTGCTTCACTGTTTCAGTGCAGACTGATCTCATGAAGTAGCGTGTGTATGACACGCCAATTCGTATTTCCATTTTTGGCGTGCTATCAAGACGCATAATCGCCTTTCAGCGTGTTTATGAACGCCGTTGACTTAACGTTACCTCAACCCCGTCCCTAAACCTAACCGTCACTGGGGTTAATGGCATTTATGACTGTTCCCTTTCCATCCTAGGTAAAAAAAAGATATGACTTACCTCAACCCCATCCCTAAACTTAACCGTCACTGGGGTTATGGCATTTATGACTGGAAAATTGAGAAAGGCAACAATTTTCCAGGTTACATTTACATTACATTTATTCATTTAGTTGACGCTTTTATCCAAACCGACTTACAATTGCTATATATGAAGAGTTTGGTTCCAAAACGCTATAAATCCATTTTGATGAATTTGAGTAAAACTGTGTTTTCTTTAGCAAGAAAATGGGAAGATGAAAACCACTATTTTCGGTTTCAAATTTTCACATAGCATTTGTAGGTTATAAATAACAATAAAAAATGAAATCCAGGTTTTGATTTCCAAAGATTTATTATAAAAACAGATTGTTTTTTCCCCCAAAATGCAATAAATCCAATAATTTTTTTTTTCAAAATGCAATTAATCAAAATAAAATTTTATACACATTGAATTTCTTGTGCATACTATAAATCCATTGCTTTAATATAACAATATTCGGTAACATTTTAAGGGTTCATGTCATGAATTATCATGAATTCATGGATAAATGAATTATGCATTAATTCATATTAATATCATCAGGAACTAACAACGTTTTTTTTAACAGTTCAACGTTTTTCATTCATGACTTCATGGATGAACAAACCTATTAAAACATTAAAACTAAGACGAGCACATTCATCATGAATTATGATTTATTAAGCATGATCTAACGTTATGCATATCGCTGTTGTCAACCTTGGACGTCGCCGCTGAACTTTTTTGACGGCGATCAGCTGTAAACTGGCTTGGTCCTGCTCGGTTTTCGTTGACTTTGAATGAAACAACTGAAAAGTTTTTCAAAAGATCCTGGGGTCAGTGTGTCAGCGTGACAGAA